TCAGTTTCGGGGCACTCAATCAAGGTCGCCCCGAAGACTGCTGGACGTGTCCCGCGAAGCTTACAAGTCCGCCAGCCGATCTTCGGATCGAATACATGGCACGCTGTCGTCACGTTGTGCTTATCCGTCTTTCCACCCACAACAAGAGCCAGCGAAGACGAGCCTAGCCTGACCGCCGAGTGACGAAAAGTTGGCATGGGCAGGTCGTGGGACCTGTACCAGCGCCCCGAAGACGTGGCATAGATCCAGGTTTCCTTCGACGGCGCGGTAGGAGAGGCGCGTCCACCAGCGAGCATTACCCCTGCGCTGCCCAGATCTGTAAGAGTGAAGCACACTCTCTGTGAGGGTCCGTTGCCTGACGATGTCGCTGGAATGACCTCTTCCGAGATGGAGTGAACGTCAAGGGAGCTGAGACGCGACCCGGGTCCTTGGCCGAGAATATGGCAGAGATGTTCGGGTCTCTCTGGCACGGCAACTTGAACAGCAGCGCCAAAGCGTCGCAATGACACGCCTTTCGGGGGCTCATCAAGTCGCATGGCTATTCGCCACTTTTCAAGCGTGCTCGACTGTTCCCGTGGTGATCGCGGCGTCAAAGTTTCTCCCGTGGATTGATTGCTTGCCTGGAGTACGAAGTAGTGACTCCCAAAGAGAGCAAACTCCTCCCATTCGTCGAAAGGTTCCATATTATCGAGGTGGTTCCTTTCGGCCGCCGTCATGAAGTAGTCGTCTGCCCAAGCCTCCCACAGAGGCCAGCTCTTCACAGTCGCCCAGCCTCGAGATTCAAAACGCCGGTGTTGGTCCGCCAAAGTGGGATACTGCGACACAGACCTCAGTGGTGTATTCATCTTACTGAAGTGTCTCATCATCGTCTTTGCAAAAGGGTGCTCCGGGCCATCAGGGAGCAATTGCTCAAGTAAACAGAACTGGGCTACAGTGGACAGTGAGCAAGCGGTTCAAGCACACGATGGAAGTAGCTGCCTGGGAGTGCTGCAGAGTGACATACCAGAACCGATCGAGCTGGCCCAGCGGATGACTTCATCGGCTGCTCGGGTCTCTAAGTAGGTGATTGACACCTCAGCCACGAATAGGAAGCTGACATCAGATGTGTCTGCACCTATGACTTTGGACAGGCAGTCTTGAAGGACTGAAGGCTGACGCAAGTCGCATGCAATGAGGGAATACAGGGCACTCTGGAGCAGAATTGGGGAGCCCGCAGTGCCCGTCACGCAGGAGGACCCCAACAGGCTGGAAAGTTCGGGGTGGGCCAACACTATCTTGCGTTTCCTCTCCATCAAGTCTGGAAAATCGACGTCGACAAACATAGTGTCGCCGGCCAGCTCTGGGTAGCGTGCGTGACACTGCCATGGCAACACGTCGCTAAATGGATGAACACATCAGTCAGTAGTTGTATGCTGACAAGCCAACATCTGAAGAGGAGGATGGGTCACCTTCCACACCCAAGATTGACGATCACCTTCTTGCGAGACGTGGGTTCGCGTAGAAAGTTGCGAACAATGGTGTCGATGACTTTGATTCTCAGGTGGTAGCCGCGGTTGACCAGTGGTGCTCGCCTTTGAAATCGCGGCACAAAGAAACGGTAGAAATGCGGCTCGTCAGGGTAGTAAAGCTTCTCAACACTTCTTTTCGACACGATGGAGCTGCTATTTGTCTACCTGGCCAAAGATGGCTTTGTTAGAGGCTTTCCTCAGCATGAGTTTAAAGGGTAAGGGCAAAATACTCCCATCACCAACTCATCCAAGCTCTGCCCATCTTGCTGACCATTTCCAGCAGGGACGACTGGTGGTGGTGTCATTTTGTGGCTGCGGGTCTCGACGCAGTGAGACGTAGCGCGTGTCGATTATTGACAGGCAGATGGCGAATCGTATGCAACGAGAAAGATGAGGTTTTCTTCACCCTGATGCACTCTTAATTTTTTACCCATTGCTGGTGTTTGCGGGTAAGACCCCCCACCATGTGGTAGGTACATTGAGCTTAGTGGGTGGGGATTAAAGGGTACTTTCGGTCAGACAGGATCCCTGCCACCTTCAGTGTCTGACCGAGTCGTCGGGCCCACTGCTTCTCCATGCATTGTGTAGCACCGTACTATGGCGAACTGTGCTCGGCTTTCAGCCACCCAAGTAACCCTGCTCGTTCGGGATGCGTATCCACTGCAGCTGCCCAGCTCGTGATCTATCTACGGACAGCTCCCCCGCAGCGAACGGCAAGACGACGCTTCGACCTGCGCCTCCCAGCCTCGCCTGCTGTCGGAACCCCCCCCCACATTCGTCCTTTCCGTGCTCTTCACGAGTTGACAAGAGATCGCTATTGCAACACGCGATTCCAGCCACGAGCTCGCACTTGTAACTCGTGTCATAGAACCCATCGCATGGTCTAGGCGCCCCGGAGCTTTCTGCCCCTGCTACAGCTCTAACGGCAGCCCATGGCTCGTTGATCGCTGTCTTCGAAGAACGACTGTCTGTCTAGTCTGAGACCTCTCTTGGTGACCTAGATACCGGAAACTTTAACAAGTGTCTGCTTGCTACAATTCACCCGGCTTGCGAGAGCTGGGCTCCAAGCACAACGAGGGAGCCTACCCTCTCCACAACCACACAATGACGACCCCGACGCTCAACTTCATAACATTTAACCAGGATCACAGCTGTCTCGCTGTTGGTCAGTAGACCTTGCTCCTCTAGCAGACTCGATGCATTGCCCTGACCTTTACTGACCCGCGGCCTTGCCCCCATCGCATCAGGTACCTCCAAGGGCTTTCGCATATACCACACCGACCCGTTCTCGAAAATCTTTAGCAGCGATGACGGAAACATTGCGATTATTGAAATGCTATTCTCCACGTCTCTGGTCGCCCTGATCCTATCTCCTCGCCACTTGATCATACAGAATACCAAGGCAAGCGGGCATGCGCCCTTCCTCGACCAGCGAACCAAGTACTGACAGGCAGGTCGCTGTAGAGATCCTCCGTCATATGCGAGCTCACGTTCCCATCTGCTGTGCTTGCCGTCCGCCTGAACCGAAAAAGACTGGCCGTTGTCCTAGAGTCCGAAATCTACCTGTACGACATCTCCAACATGAGCCTTCTGTATACGATCCCGACCTCCCCAAACCCAAATGCCATCTGTGCCCTATCGCCGTCCTCAGAGAATTGTTATATCGCATATCCGCTACCGAAGCCCCGAGACGAAAGCGGCGACAGGCGTCCCGCGCATGCGCCTCCTCTGTCAAACTACGTCGCGCCCACTTCCGGCGAGGTGCTCGTCTTTGATACCGTCGCTCTCAAGGCTGTCAACGTCATTGAGGCACACCGGTCCCCTCTGTGTTGCATTTCACTCAACGCTGAGGGGACGCTCCTGGCCACGGCCAGCGAGACGGGGACCATCATCCGTGTTTTCTCCATCCCGAAGGGTCAGAAGCTCTACCAATTTCGCCGCGGCACATATCCTTCCACCATATATAGCATGTCTTTCAACCTGAGCTCCACCCTGCTCTGCATTTCTTCCACCTCGGACACGGTTCATATTTTCCGCCTGGGCGCCTCTCCAGCGATAGCTACTGCGACATCCGAAACACCATCTTCGCCTCGACAGGACCGCTGGTCAAGGGCTCGCAGCCACGACAGCACCAACGAGTCTCCGGTCGGAAGTGCAGCTAATTCTCCACGGAGTGAAGTGGCTGATGGCGCGAGTTCGAGTAATGGTGGCAACGACCATGCCGCTCAGGCCCATAGAAGGCAGAGTGGGTCGTTCAGCAGCATGTTGCGTCGTTCTTCCCAGATAATGGGCCGAAGTGTGGCCGGCGTTGTAGGGTCCTACTTGCCGCAGACAGTTACAGAGATGTGGGAGCCAACAAGGGACTTCGCGTACATCAAGATTCCCAAGTCATCTCAAACGGGGCCGATCACTTCGCGAGGTCTGAACAATAGTGGAGGGGGATCGTCCACTCCGTCTACTGGGCCGCTGAGAAGTGTTGTCGCCATGAGCAGTAACAGCCCTCAGGTGATGGTAGTCACGAGCGACGGCGGTTTCTACGTCTTCAACATTGACATGGAGCAAGGCGGCGAAGGCTACCTGCTCAAGCAATTCTCGTACGTTGCCCGAGACACCTGACATGATCTAACGAACGTCGAACTCATCATCTTTAGTGTTCTTGACAGCGATGATAAACTGGACGTTTCTTCATACGGGGCCTGAGGCATGATGCATGATTCGGTGTTATCTTATCCTCGACCTGCCAGAGCCCCAGCCAACGATTGTCGTCGACTCAGGGCCCTCTCAGGCCCCCGATATAATCGAAGACATCCGCTTTACGCTAATCATCTTGGTAATGTCATCCGGGATCAGACTCATGGCTACTGGACCCCTGAGCCTTTGAATCTTGCCTTCTTTCATCGCATCAAGGGTGCAATCCAAATAAGCATCCTATTGGTAAAGCAGTGCTTTAAATAACTATTCTTACTTGTGTGCAGTGCGGTCGCTGCCATACGCCTGCCCTCCTTGGTTACATGTTCCCCTAACTCATTAGAAAATTTGAAGTGCGTGTGAGAACACAAATAAGCCTGATGCTTTCCCCAAAAGGCCTCGGAGGCATCAACGGAGTATTCCCTTGCTAGCAAATAATGAAATGAACCCCCGAAAGAACTTCCCTGTAATATCCTATCATCCTAAAACGAGACGCCCGAAGCCTCGGCGTGCTGTGAATACCCGTGATCTCCATACAAGTTTATTTGTGTAGGTGTGCTTTACCCGGTATTAGTGGTGCATTCCCACTGACCTAACAGCGCGTGCGGAATACAGCCAATCCGTAGAACATCGAAAAATAGCACAGAATAGTCAACGCCATGAAGTATTCGTGGTAGTCACCCGCCCCCCCCCCCCCCCCCCCCGGGGAAACCCACCATCCTCGAGCTCATAATTCGTCACGTCGTTCATCTTCGGAGCAGTGTCCGGATTTGATACTGCTTGTGTGTCTGTATGGTCGGAAGATCACCTCGCATACGGCCTGTTCATCGAGGCGATTTCTCGAGATATATCGGCCCACTCAAGCTCCCTCTTCAACGCCCCAGGGCCTCCCCTTCTGACTTGTAAGATCTCTTCCCATTTCAGAAGCTCGTATGCAAATCGAAGGTGAGGTTGGATAATGACGTTCAGTCTACGAGCTCGCACGTAGCAGTAGGCTCGAGGGAAGGAGTAGTTGAGTGACTTCATCACCTCGGCAATGCAAATGGTGGCACTGCGCGATACGCCAACGCGGCAATGAACAAGTGTCGCCGTGCCATTGCATCGACCACGTTCTGGTTCACAGTCAGATCAGGTTTGTAGCGAGAGGGGGGGATGCGTCGAACGGGGTGGATTTACCAATAAATTCCAAGCACCTTTCAAACTGATCCATCAAGGGATCAATGCCGTTGTCCTGGACACCCTGGACGAGGCACACATTATCAGACCCCCACTGCTCAAGTTCTCCATCCCTCCACATGGACATCTCTCCGACACTGAGGATTTGGCCGATCCCTAGGGACCTCAGTAACTCGGGATTGTTGGCATGTCCCAGGTTGCCGAGGTACATGTAATCCAGAACGCGGCTGGGAAGCGAGCCGTCCATGCTGTGCATCCAAGTAGGGTCTTTGATCAAATCCGTGATGCTAGAGAGTCCCTTATCTGCATGGGCGGGTGATTCATGTAGTAGTCGTGGCTCAATGCACGTCAGCAGAGCTACATCAGTAGGGTAAGCAAAGAAATTGCGCTTCTTTTCCGTGTGTAGATGCAGCCAGGAATCCGCAACCCCGCGTCCCGTGCTGTAGCTCAGATACGCAATGCTTAACATGGTGGACTCGGTATAACCGTCCGCGCAGTGGATAAGTATCTTTCTCGGCCTCGCCTGGATAGCAACATTCTCATTTGTGGGGGACGGCTCGTCGGCCGGGAACGTGCCATGGGCCAAATGGTAAATCCACTTGCATGTTTCCAGGATGCCGTCGGCCTCGACTTGGGACCAGGTCGGCGGAAGAATACTGCCGGATGAGGGGAAGTCGATATATAACTGCTGGTTGTCCTTTTCTTGCCCTCGAGCAATGCTCTTGAGGGCCGCCGGGTTAATCCGTCCCACGTCGCTACATTCTATGAGGACGTCGTACTCGGCTTCATCCTCGGTGGGGGGATCGGGTGTAGAGCCTACCCAAACATTATGGGAAATTTCGGAAGCCAGAGTCATAGCGTACATTTCCTTCCTCTCCTGGTGAAAGAAGTCGAGAACGTTACCGGTCAGTTGCCCGGTGGAGTCGATGGCAACAACCTCGGAATGGTTTGCCTCAAAGGTTCCAAAAGGGCCTACACAAATGAATGTGTTATACACAGGCAAAAGTTGGCCTTGGGCCTCGTGCTTGTCACGCCAGCGGCGCTGGGCCGTAACGACATCCCACGCCACTTTCCGTACGATTACGGCATCTTCGCCATAGACAACCACATCGGAAACGCCGGCTATCTTGGCAGCCTGTATTTGAAAGTTCCGAACGCAAAATCCGTCTTTTGGATCGATGTCTATGAGTCCAGGTGTTGCTTGTGTGTCAAGAAACTCTTGAGGAGCGATGGAACCCTTCAATCGAGAAACCGAAAGGTCGCCATCCGCCTTGACGAGGACCAATCCTCTAATGCAAGTAGGGGTTCTTCTAAGCATTCGGCGGCGAGCGATGAAGAAAGCTTGCTGGATATGGTTGTGTGGATGGAGGCCGTGGAACCAGGGGAACACTCGAGACGTGTCTGGCAAAGGTTGTCGAGAGGCGAAATCAATTGCTGCAGCCAGATCCTGAGGATGCAATTGATACAGCTTCAGGGGACCTGACTCAATACAAGCGAAGTCGTTGGGCGGGAAGAGCCATGAGGCTGGCTGGACGTCTTCGTCGTCAAGATCGTTTGGTGGTGATGGTGGTGGGGTACTGAGGTCTCCGCTTGGTGCGGGGCCTGGGGGACAGACTGGGATGTGCTTGTTTGGTATCGATGCCTGCTGCTGCACACTGATGGTGTCGAGGGATATCGCTGAGATGGGGCTGATAGCGGACGACGGTCGATGGGGAGGCAGTGGTCGGGAAAGGGCAATGGTGGCCATGATAGTTGTTTCGTATACGTGCTAAGGCTACCAACTCCGGATGTCGACGGCTTCGTGCTTGTTGGGCTTCGTCAGTAGCCACAGGCACCCTAAGAATATCGATTCGTCAGTAGGTTTCCTTGCCTCGGCAATGCTGCAGAATCGCACGATGCCTTACCATGGAGTGGACGCGCTCAGGTGACAGAACTCGTTGGCTTGACGTCGGGAGCAAGCGTACACCAAAGGAACAAGTACCACGAACGAACAATGGACGATTCTGGAGCAACGGAATTGAGAGGTCTTGTCACCTAATGCCAATGGTTGAAATTTGAGTGTACAATGGTGGAAGATGAGAAAAGGGAAGAAGGATGGTGTCGAGGTTGGAATGGGATATGATGAGCGTGAACTCAAAGGGGATGATGTGGGAGGTGAGGGGGGTTGCCCAGCACGGCCCATGCCCAGTAACTCGTCCAGTGACATCGGTTCTGCAACTGGAGGGTGACACCTGACGTTGGGCGGTTGACATACAATGGGGGCCCGGCAGTATAGAACACCCTTCGAGTGCTGCCTCCCCCCCCCCCCCCCCCCCCCACGTCCCAGAGCGCTCCATGTCGCAAGATCAGGACATGATAGCGATGTGCCACAATACAACAACACGCCGTTCTGAGTGGTTGGGCTTGGATTCCCGCAGCAAACTAGGTGGTTGAGTATCAGCAGCTAGGAAGCTCAGAGATAAAGATTGGCTGGGTGGCTGTGCCCGGAGCTCCACCAGTGCATTCTTAGCGCCTTGAGTCGTGCACGGATCAAGCGGGGTAGGGTCGCGCTTGGATACCAAGCGCCACCCTAGACCGACCCTTGGTCGCGATAAGCGGTGGACCGCATGACATGGGAGCGTTGGATGTTGTTTGCTTGCTGAAACAAACATGGGTCGTCTCTAGTGCTATCGCTTGACGTCTGCGACTGAGCGACACCGAAAGAATGGTAACTTCATTTATAATTCAAACCGATCGACACAGTTAGGCCAGCATCTGCACTGCCTGCAGGTGCTTTACATCGCTATCACGCATGACTTGCGCCTGCTGTGAACTCGATTAGGTAGCCCCAGCCTTGGTCCTACAGCTTCGGGAGGCTCTAGCCCATTGTTGCCACCAGGCGCTTCGTAGCTTTCTGCGCCCTCATGGCAGGAATGGTGTTGTTTCTTCCGGGCTTCCTACCCACCTCGACGCAGAGCATACGTATGAAATCTCGGCTGAGCCAGTAGCTCGAATGCGCGCTCAACATGTTCAGATATTGAATCTCGAGCGGACCACCACCCGAGCGTAGAAAGAAGTCAACCTGGCCGTTGTCGTTGAGCAGATACGCCTTTCTTTCGGCAATCTCCTCCCGCGAAAAGTCATGCACCTCCAGCTCTAATTGGGAGGGCAGCCGCGCCATGGAAGGTTTGGGAGCTTCGCCACAGGCAGCATCTGCAGCCGGGGCTGGGGCCGTTCCCGGGATGATGCTGCGCATGGTGTCTCCAACGTACTTGAGTAGAGACGTCGCGGTGCTGGGCACATATGCAGTCTTCAGGCTCGCCGCGTAAACTGGATCGATTGTGCCGTTGAGCAAGTAGGCTATTGGATCTTCTCTGGCCAGAATGTTGTAAACATTGTCGACGGCCATACAACCAAAAGAACCGGCCTCACTGGTTACATCTGGATCGTCCACGTCACTAGGCTCGGCCTCTGGCTTCGGCCTGCTGCGTCGAGGAACGAGCATCCCTCTTTCCAGCAGCATGAAGAACCCCGCAGGGCTACCGGCCAGAAAGAGATTGACAGTGTCAAATTCGAATACGTCAGCTCTGGGTGAGGGCAAGGACAGATCCAGCGAAGGTACTCGGTTCGGTTGCCTCGACAGAATATCAACAGCCATCGCACTGCCAAGGGAGTGGCCAATGAGATGGACGCGTCCTTTGTCGTGAAATCCCGGATTGTTACGGCACCACAAACGGTATACCCTGTTGGCTTCCTTGACTAAAGCCTCAATCATTTGGCCCTTGTGATGAGACATGTAGAATGGAATGTCGAACATAATGTCGGATATCATGCTTCGTACTGCCGGGATTGTTTTAGGCTCAATATCTTTGAGCCCAAAGCGGTCAAGGCCCTTTAAAGCCTCTTCTTCACCGTCCTGCGCAGGCCCCCCATTTTCTAATGTCAGAGTGTGGCGCCAGTTGACGGGAAGAACCATGATACCATTTTGGGCTTCTCGAAGGCTGCCATTCAGAGCTGGGTTGTTCAGTTCCATGTTGACCTCTTTGCGGAAAGCATTGATGGCGTGTGTGAAGTGAAAGCTCTCGACTCGTTCAGCGAACTTCTGTCCGATGCCGTGGCAGACAAGTATCAAGTCCGTGACCTGACCACGGTCTGCCTGTACTTTGCAGGCAGGACAAATCTCGATCCTTGTGCCCGTGGAAGAGGAGGGGGCAGCGTCAGTACCAGCGCTGATCTCTGCGTGCTTCTTATTCTGGATCCTGTCCCACGCATCCTGGTCAAAGCCACGCACTACGGGAATGCCGATGGTTGTCCCTCTCATGATCTTGGCAACAGGCCTTCTCCCATAATAAGCTGAGGGTTTGAGACTTGGCTTGAGAAGAAATGCGTTCGAGGCATCCTTATAAATGACATGATAGCTCGCAAAGCTTTTCGACGGTTGCTCAGAATTTTTTACGCTTGGTTCGGGGGCGATAGACCCTTGCGCTGCCGCCTCTCCTCTGAAACAATGAGCAGAGCAAAAGGGGTCCGTCGATATGACAGGCTCGTCTCCGGCGAGATCATTGTCGGAACGTTGCCTGTCATTAGGCCACAACGGGTGCGACACTTTTTCTTCGCCAAGCGGCCCAACATCGATGGCACAGCGAAGCTCGTCGCTCCACGTCTCTGTATACGGCCTCAGCTCTCTGTAGCCAGCCTCTACTTGATTGGCCACTGTAGGAGGCATAGGATTCATTGTGTCTCTTCGATGTGCGTTAGATGATGTGTTATGTCAGGTCATACGCACGGCTTTAAGCCTATCGCGAAACGTCGTGGGGTTTGCAAACAGACCTGTAAAACCACGTTCCCCGAAGAACAATAGCAATGTCATTGACGGGGGACCAGTAGATTGGTTTCATTTGAAGAGATGGCAGGGATACTTTGTGTAAACGCGAGATACCGACGGGTACCTCCAACGCGCATCTACTGACTTGCGGATCAGCATCGTCAATGTCCAGAGTATGAAGATCCTCCAATTTTTCACGAGTTTTCTTGGCGCCGCGCTCTGGGCCAGAAACTGGAGCATCTCTGGTAACGGCGCCTTCATTCTGATCTTCTCGTCCCCCAAACACACTGGCCATAGACTCAGGCGTAGACCCATAGCTCTCGACACGAGCAAATGGTGTTCCGGATATGCCATCGTCCATGGCAGCTCGGGAAACAACAGCATCGGCGAGCGGTTGGAGGCGTTGATTTTCCTGATCTGCACGTAAGCTTGTTTTGAAACGCAGAAAACCGCCCTTTGTGAGTTCCTCGCCAACTGGGGGGTTGCTGGGCGACAAGCGGGCAGATCGTGTCGAGTCGGCTCGTTTCCGAGATGCTGATGATGTCGGCTGCTGTTTGTCTGTGCTGCCGTCGCCGGCCTCTAGGTCTAACAACATGCGTTTCAGTTCCAGCATAACCTTTTGAATCACCTTGTCCGCAATCAGGGACGATTGACGCAGTCTGACAAGAGCGCAGAAGGTATTTTGGAGATCGGTGGACACGTCGAGGTACAGCTCCGAACAGCAGAGAGAGGCTGCAGCTGTGGACTCGGCCACTGGCTGTGCTGCCAATATTGACTGGCTCGTATCACTGCCGACATGTTTTTTATGATGCTTGCGCGCCAAACGCTGGACGAGTGATGCTAATTTTCTGTCGTTCGCCTTCTCGAGGACAGGACCTAGGGAAGTGCTATTCCTTGCCTTGCGGTGCGCTGCATCATCTTGATCGGAAGCTAGGGATAGCCATGCCTTTTCGAGTGCAATGTTATCGCCTTGGGAGAACGGTCGCAATCGACTTTTGGCAGACTTCGCGTCGGAAGCATAGGCAAGAGTGCCAGGGGAGAGGGGGTCGTCGATCGGTATCAACGACGTATAGAAATACTGCGCGTTGACCCGAGGTGTATCATCGGAGGCGTTGTCTGACGATTCATAGGTTATCGGAGCCAGCCTGCAATTTTGCTGGTACGTGTGTCCCACAGCTGACATGGTGTCGAGGGGTGTGATCATCCGCTCGAGCAAGACCGCTCGGGCGCACGAGTACTATGAGCTTGTGGTCAGCTTGAGTTTGCGCGATATGTAGTTCCTTGTAAGAGTCTAGCATCACTCGTGACGTTGGTTGAAGTGGCGAGTATTCTCGTGGAAGGTCTTGTTGGCACCCATGCGCGGCCTGGTAAGACGAGAAATGAATGACGCAGACGGAGGTTGCAAATTCAGAACACAACGTGTTTGGCATATGAGGAGTCGGGCACGTTGGGTACAGGCAACGGTGAGTAAAGAAATTTAAAACAGATTTCAGCTTGACATGGAATGTTGGAAATGTCATTCGTGAGGTAGGTACCTACCTACCAGGTAGGCGAGGCAGGTAGAATAATTAAGAATGACGTCTTGTGAGAGCTTTGACCAGGGTGAGGCAGCAAGGTACGTAGGCATCAGTGGACCTTCCCCAGCCCAGGCACCTAGGTATTGGGTGCATGTGATTGTCGCCAAGGTTTCAAGACAACAAACAATCATCTGCTTCCATTGAATTCCTTTCCATTTAAATACAGGATCATCAGTTGAAACAGACAATGACTACATCACAATAGGCTGGCTTCTACGCAGAGTCCAGAATAGATGGAATGCAGGGCTTTGCGCGTCAGGCAACAGCATATCGTATCTAGAATCCGTCTATCTCCATGAGGTCCTGGTCCAGGTCATCGTCCATACCATAGTCGTCGCCGCCAAATTCTTGTGTCTGTTCATTTTTGTTCGCCGCGTCCTCAAGGTCCCTGATTCGATCCATTTCAGTCTTCTCCTTGTGTCTCATCAGGTCTTCGTAGCTCCAAGTGCTGACGCCTTCTTGGTCCTTGGCTCGGAACGGTTGCGCCATCTGCTTGAGAAAGCGCCGTGCGCTACTAACGGCCATGTCTGTGCTGAGATTTGTGTCTGCATCAAGCAATCCCTGATTGATCCATTTGGGTAGCTGAACGCGCTTCTTCTGGAACCGACGATCAGCAAGGACCATGACGCCGTAATCATCCTTCCCGCGGAGAACTCGGCCCAAACATTGGGCGGCGTGACGCATGGCATCGAATGAAAGGAAATCATTCTCGCGGATGCGGTATGTTTCTCGCAAGAACTCGAGCCTTGCTTTGAGGATTCGGGACTCGGTATATTGGAATGGAACACCAATGTTTAACACGGCCCGGCCGTATTGATGATCGAAGTCTATACCTTCAGACACCTTGCCTCGGGCGACGCACAGAAGTACAGCGCCTCGGCCGTTGCAGCAGGCGGTTCTATAGGTTTCCAGCGCCAGCGAGGTCTCTTGTGCGTCAGGCGTCTCGACGAGGATTAATTTGTACTTCCAGACCTCGTCCAGAATACCCATGCCCTGCCACATGCTTATGATGGATTCCATGTACAAGTAGGAGGGGAAGAAGACAACCATGCCATCCGGTGTGATTTTGGCGAATTCTGTCAGGAGGCTGCCGTAGTTGCGGACCACGCTCGGCTCATTTCTGACTTGAAAGCTGGTTGAGACAGAAGCTTGGTCGCTACCTCTTGTGACAATCATCGGCAGGAAGGATCGCCTGGCTAGGGTCATACTGTAAGACTCCTGAACAACAGTCGAGAAGCCCAGCATTTTGGGGTACATTTCCAATGGAGAAATGGTACCGGAAGTGATGATGACGGAAGAGAATCTGTCAAACACGGGTTTGATAGCGATAGCTGCATCGAGGCAGGTGAAGTGTAGCACGGGATTCGGCACCTCGGCTGCTTCTGACTCAAATGGCTCTAGAATTAAAAGAAAGCCTTTTTCATAGGTGGCAACCAATGTAGCAAAAGTTGCAACTTCTTGGAGTGGCTGATAATCTTCAATGTTGGTGAGTTCGAGTGTTCTGACCAAAGACGTGAGACGCTCGGCACAGAACTTCAGCGGCTTTTTCTCAATAAAGGTGAATTCCTTGAGGTGGGCAAGAAAGGACGGAGGTGTTTCGGAGATGGTGTTCCTGACTTTCATGCGAGTCTCGTTCCGTGGTTAGCAGCCTATACGAGAAAACTTGTACTGACGTACTCCGGCTCTGGCTTACTTTCAGATACTCAATGAACCTCTTCAAGAAGGCAACAAAGTGTTCCGCCCTACGAATATTTCCAGGGACGGCTTCGTTGAGTAGGTCGTCTGGTAGTGCTTTTCCATCTGTCAACCGTGCTGTCGCGCCCAAAGGAGGCGGGTGCAATTACCTGGGTTGGCCATGAATGCGTCCTCTTGGCGAGCCTCTCCTGCATCACGCAGGCCTTCTACAAGCTTTAGGTATTCGTTCTGAAGCTGCTCTTGATCAGTTTGCTTCATCTCCGCAATCTTACGATCCAGGTTTTGCGCTCCCCTCGCCGCCTTGCGCAGAGAATCCTCGGTGATGTCTGTGCTCAATGACTCGATGCACACATTGTCAATGTTATGCGCTTCATCGAAAACTACGATGCAATCTTTGGACAGCTCTCGCGAGACTCTCTCGGCAATCTTGGGGTCGAGAAGGTAATGGTAGGAATAGATGATGACGTTGCAGTATTGCATCTGGGATGATTCAGTCTCTCACGATATCCAGTGCCAAACAAAGATACAGGTTAACGTTACCATGCGCCTGGAGGTGAAATATGGGCACTGTTTGTGTTGTTCACCGTAGCGAAGGAGACCGTCGAAGGTCCAGACGCCGTTCGGGATGAGATTGTGGGGCTCAAGGAGGTCGAGATTCTGAAGCAAAGGTTGGTAATTGGGAACCTGGAGTTGTAAAGATATGTTCGTGTACTCACGTCGTGATACACGCACACGTCAACGTTTTCGCCTTTGTCCTTCTTCTCCTTCACGAAACCAGCAGTGAGGCTACGACAACGCGCATCAACAACCGAACCACTTTTCTCCCGCTTCACGGACGGATGCAGGCATAAGTTTTTTCTACTTGTCAAGCCGAGTCCACGGAACTCTTCCTCTTGTCCGAGCTGCTCAGTCCGGTACTTCATGAGTTCCCTTAACTCGGCGAGAGCCTTTTCAATTTCCGACATGGTACCTGTCGAAAGTGGTCAGACGGTGTCGGAGTACAATGATAGGGCAAGCGAAAGTAGGTCAGACGCACGAGAGCAGTATATCAGCTTCCGGTGCTCAGGATAATGCTGCTGGTATGCGACGATGAGCGAGAGCAAGGAGACCGTCTTGCCGGTTCCTGAAGGCATCTCAAGAACACAGTGGCCCCCCGCATCTAAGGTCTCTAGGGCGATATCAGCATAATGTCTTGGTGAGGTTTCTGCCGTGGAAGACCGACTCTTGAGATCGCACATGTAGCTTGATAAGGTGTGAGCAGGGAGGAAGATATTATGTGGTGAGCTGAAGGAGGCTTACGCATATTGCTCGGGATAGATCCTCGGATACGGGAACAGGACCGGGAGGTCGCTTCAGCGGCCCTCAATGTTAGCAAGTCACATCGAGTAATATTACGAAACAATGTGAAAAGGTACAATATACTCGATAAAAAACTTCATGATGATCGATCGGAGAAGCGTCTGTGGCCAGCGTGAAACAATTATTCGCTTGTGAAGTAGTTACTGAAGTTCCTGCCCCCTGGCATGTGAGTGTTGGGTAGGTATCGCCCAATCCGCAACCTCGCTCATGCCGTCACAGCCGAACGCAATGGCAAGAGAGCCCTCGACTGTGATACCGGGAACTGCAAACGAAAGCCGTCGTCTTTTTGACAGCCGCTAGGTCATTCAAGGAATCGAATGCGAAATACTGCAGAGGGATCGGGATTGCGTTCGTCAGTCTAGGATCTGGGGTTAAATGAGGCAGACATCCAAAGGACCAAAGGAGACGTGAAGTGGTGATGAAGGTGTGGGTCCCGAGCTGCCAAACTTGCACGTCATCACGTGACCGAACGGGTCAGTAGGAGCGTCCTGCCAACGTAGAAGCCACTGAGAGTACAGCGAACAGCAAGTGAGCCACCGAAGCAACACGTGACATGCGGTGTGAAAGTGACTGGGGCCAGCCCCTGGGGTGCTGCCAATTGGGGAGAGGGTGGAGAGGAGGAGGGCCTCATTCCCTCACACGTGAGGTGGCAGTGTAATGCTGTGCGCTGCACATAGAAAGTGGCGGCCTTGGTTTGCGTCCCTGCTGGTGCTTGACGCTTTGCAAGGTCCCTCTGAACTCCACTCTAAACTGTGCACGATGACTGAAGGAGTTTCGGGGTGTCCCAGTGGGCCACGGTGAAGGCTGACAGAGACAAGGGCACCCCGGACCAAAATTCTCTCGTCCGATCCGCCAGTTATCTGTTGTACTCGGGTGCCAGCGGTCCCAGGAGCGGACAGAGTACATGGCCCGCGGAATACAGACATTGTGTCCCGCAAGAGGTAGTGGCTAAGTAGCGCAGCTGAGCTGATCTGCGGATTTTATGGCCATCGAATACCAGTCGGATACAGAGCCACCCTGAAGTCTTTGTACTCGCTACTCAACGTGGGTAAAATCCCACGCTACAAAAGTACCAACGGCCCTACTACGGCGCGCCTCGATCTATACTAGCCTCCGCCCGACAATGCGACGACCTCCCCTTTCTAGTCAGCCAGTCAGTCCCAGGCAAAGCCTACGCGAGATGACTTGATGGAGGCAACAACCGCAGCCAACACAGGCCTACGTCTCTTCCCGTCGTCATAATCGGCATCACCAGACTTGTCAGAACCCAGTCAGGCAACAGGCCTGGCTCGAAACAGTCTTTCTACAGCCGACACAGTCGCGGGTTCTAAGCCCGCACAACCGCACATCCGGCGGCATTGGCAGAGCAAAGTTGTCATCTCGCTTGACACTGCTCTGGCCCCCAACATCCATCCAACCGCCCTCGCCATGACCTTGGTCTCCGCTGCGTAAGCGATGTGCATGGAGCCTGCGGGGGGGGCTGGGCCCTGTATTTACCTGCTAAGCACGACCAACGGCCGTTGCTGAATGGCGGACTCTCTGGCATCTCTGGCTCGCCCTCTTTTCGCGCTCTGTGCCATTAGTGCCAGAACCATGCATTGTACATTGATATCGATTTATTCGGTAATTCAGCGCGGGGAGGCACCACAGACCGCTCCATTCGCAAGTGCCTGGCTTTCTGACAGATGTCGGCGACATGAAATGCGGCCCCAGCCAGCCAGGCCATCCAGACGCCATGCTTCTTTCTTGGAGCCACTTTACCTTCCGTGACGGCACGATGGAACATACCCATCCAGCCCTATCAGATGAGCAAGCAGGGATACATATCTTGTGTTGCTTTGATCACTACGTCCCCCAATTTATCCTCGAACCCGCTCAGCATCACCCCTCCCCCCTTGGTCCACAATTAGCACTGCATCTCTAGGGTGCTTTTTGTTGTCTTCCGCCGCCCGGGTGGGACCACACTCGGGTCGCGGTTGGCACTTGGTTGTATATCCCGGTCGACCCTTCCTTCCGTACGTATGGTCTGGCCTGCTCCAGACTCGGTCAGATCAGGTCTGTCACTTGGTGCGCGCCATCATGCATGCTACAGGGAAAGCTTGGAATCGCAAGTTGCCATCATCAAAAGACTTGCACTGGTACTCGGCTGGCCTTTCGAGAAAGTCTGACGGCCTGGAAATGGGGTTGAATGATCTGGCACCCGTGACGAACGCGTGGAAAGTCGACTGCTCCTCAAACGACCTGCCCGTAATCGAGCAGGTGCTCGAATGAGGTGGTTCACTGCCCTCGATTTCCCTGTCTTCCAACCCCTGTCCGTCCGTTGGTCTTCGCAGCTTCATGCCGTATCGAGTCACCCTAAGCTGCCCAGCCTGGCATCACACCAACTTCTTCACCCCGTTCTCTCGCATCCCCGCGGCCCCCAGCCCTGTCGGTTGCATCCTTCCATGCGCCTCCCATCATGTTTCCCGCTACCCTACGTTGTTACCGTGCGATAAAAGTACCTTCCATGGCCCATCTCCCCGGGGAAGCGGCTCCTACTTCAGCTTGTCTTACTCGACCACTGTCCAGGACCCGCGACAGCGCGCAAGTCTTCCGTCAAGGGCTCACGATAACCTCACATTGTCTGAGCGGCTTGCCTGAAGAGCTACTCATGGACCTGGCGACCTCCTGAGATCCTTTCAGCGCCCAACCTCAATTTCGTCTTGCGACATGGATCTCACACCCCCCTCCCTCACGAGGTCTCCGGTCTCTCCTCCCAACACGTACTGCGCTTCAGAGAGCTCCTCCCTGGACTACCCGTCGCCGGGCTTCTTGAGCCAACGGTACAGAATCGCTGCTGGATATGGCGCCCCTGCCGCCTGCTCCACGGCCGTGCCGCTCGACACGGACAACACCCTGCCACGCTTGGCGTGCAGAGCCTCGTCCGAATGGTCATCGTCAAGCATTGCAACTCCTGTCCTGGCCTCTTCTGCCTCTACCATCCCAAATGTAGTATCTCTCGACTACGATCCATTCGGCAGCTACGACGCCCATATACATACCTCGTACGGGCACGAGTCTTACCCAGCACCCTCCAGTGCTCGTGAGTCGGGCTCGGCACATGCTCTACATTCCCCCCCTTCTAGTATGGTTCATTCGCCACCACTCGCATCTTCAAGGGCTGCATTACCGTTTCCGCACGGCGGTGGCCACACATCAAGTGTTGCCTCAGGACAGAGAATCAAACTAGAGACGTATAACGACTTTGGCTCCGGAGGTATCGATTTATCCGGCTACACCTCGCCGCGGGCGTGCACTGCAACTTACGGATCAGAAGACACGACGCCCTATTCCGGCTCGGCTCCGGCCTATTTCTCCAGTGGACACGTGCCTCACTGGGCTAGGTCAGACATGGACGTGGAATCAACTAGCTACGACGGTGGCCTGGGACATATGGGCGGTCTAGAACAGGTTTCGGCGCAACAGCAACAGCAAGCAAGGCAAAACCGGCCGCGCCGAGCACCTCGGCGACTGACAACACGCGAGGAGGCCAACTTCCAGTGTGAAGTCAAGGGCTGCGGAAAGCTCTTCAGCCGAAGTTACAATTTCAAGGCTCACATGGAAACCCACGACGATAAGCGAGAGTACCCTTTTCCTTGTCAGATCGGTGAATGCAACAAGAGATTCGTGCGGAAAACCGATCTTCAGAGGCACCACCAGAGCGTGCACACCAAGGAACGCAATCACAAGTGTGACTATTGCAGCCGTCTCTTTGCCAGGAAGGACACGCTTCGCAGGTATGTCGGATGAGCTGTCGATATGCCCTAGAGGCAACAGACTTTTCGTAGCCAGACTTGCTGACATGTTGCCACGACAGACACATGGAAGATGGGTGCTCTCGAAGATTCGACCTGGGTACACTTGACCTACGCTCCGAAGGCTACAATTCCTCGAGCAGCAGCCGGCGACAGTTGCCCGGAACATCGACAGGAGCGGCGGAATTCGGCGTGCCCTCTCATGGGACACTGCCCCCTCTCCTCGTAGGGCCAGCAGGTGGTGGCGAGGCTACTCCGGCACAGTCAAACCTGGACACAAGACATATGGGCCCGGCCAGCGACGCGGGATCTCAACGGCGCATGTAGAGAACGGATCCCACTGTCCCCGGTGGAGCACCGTCCGGATGAGCCAACGGTTTAATGGGGAAGGAAGAGCAGACGCCACTGCAACAGACGGAGGGCGTAGGAAGCTAATATGTGGGAAAGCACCGAAAGGGCATCTGCGAAGTACCATCTTGATACCCATACGACACACACGACACAAGTGGATGAACGGCACTGTAGCCTTTGATGAAGTGGGATTGAAGGAGAAGCAAGATGAATACTGTCTCGCGAGAGAAAATAATGAAGAAACCCATTGGCATGTTGTCCCTGCTTATCACATGTTTGATTTCGCTGTCAGAACTTGTGTAACAAGACGATTTCAAGTTGGCGCCATCACCAGTGTGACACCGTCGACGAACCAGCTCAGGGTCGCGTTGTCTGCAAAGGCTAAATGAGCTCACCTGGAGAGGACCCGCCAGGCAATCGGAAATCGGACGATGATTTCTTCTTGCAGAGGAGCAATGGGGCCAGCTGCAACAGCGATGGAGGGCAGATTAACCCCACCAGTAGGATAAAGCAGCCGGCGACATGGAAGCTAACAAGCTGGGCATGTCAAGTGAGGGGGGGGGGCCCATCCGGGCAGCTGCTCAGCCACCCACTGCACCTCACCTCACCACCCTCCTCGTCGACATCCTGGCAAGGTGAGCAGGAATGGGAGGAGTTCCGGCAGGGGAGGAAGACAGCCCCCCTGTAAGGCTGGCTGGCCTGCTGGCCCCTGCTGGCGAAGGGACCCTGAAGCCCGAACCCGTCAGCGAATCAAGCCACCTCCTCGGGAAAGATGGCTCGTCAGTTCCTGGCTCCTTTGGGCCTGATATGAGCTGCACCTGCACACTGTCACGGAACGTCACCTCTGAAGCCCTAGCCCGGGCCTGCGCCTCGATGCCTGCCCGCAACTCCCTGCCTACACACTGGTACAGCCGGCGCTTGGTCGTGGTACGGCTACGTACCTACCGTCCTTGCCCAGGGGACCATACCCAGGCAGCAGCTCAGGGAACCCGTCCCTGTCAGTCAAAGTCAGGAAAGAACAAGTTCCGACCGCGCATCGAAACATCCGAGGCAGGCGCCAGCCAGGGCTATGGACTTGCCTAGACAGTTGCGCCCCGCCACCTCCGTGCAAACAGCTCGGCGTACAGGATCCCGCGGACGGCCGAACGAACGAAGCTGCGAGGTCCGATCGACAAGTGACTATTTGACATGATTTGCTGAACGCCACAGGCCATGCACTTGTCCGACGGGAGGCAGCGTTCATATGGAGATAGATCAACATGTCCATGTATTTAACGCCTATCAGGGAATTCGCACTCAACGCCTGCAAAAGTATTACATACTGACTGACGGCTTTCGACTCCTTGCCCAACTCGCACACAATTTTTTTCATTTTACCTCTGTGTAACCTCATTCTGCCGCAGAAACCGAGTGTCGCGTCGGCAATTTCGTCAACACATCGAATGCCCCTGTTCCTGTCTTGCCCAAACGTCCCATGACAAGACGGCTACTCGGCGTCGTCAGGTCATCCCAGTCGCCATCCAACACAGCGTCCTTGAGGAAAGCAAGCGTAGTCTCAAAGCTCATCTTGGTGAACGGGCTGACATTACCGCGGAGCCCATTGCGGTTGAAAGGCGTGTATCCGCCATTTCTCGTCATGTAGTCAGCAATGAGGTTGAGATGGCGATTGTCAACGGAGATGCCGTGACCTCCGAATACGTTGCCGAGCTCGAGCACGATGTTGCTGCGGCAAGCTTCCACGCCGTACACGTCCAAAACTGCAGCAATGTCGTTGGTTACCGTCTTGTTCGGGTTGATGTAATCGCTGTACTTCTGCATGATCCGGAGATTGGCGCCGGACGTATGGATTGCTGGAACATCTTTCTCCTTGCCCGTCTCCGGATCGGTGACCTTGTGGTCGAAGACAAGTGTACAAGCTCCCACACCGGGCAGCTCCTGCACCACCGTCTTCTTGACAGCAGCCTGTACAATGTCGAGTAGAAGCAGCTTGGGGGTGTTGGCATCGAATTCGAGCGTGAACTCGCACCACTTGCCCGACACTTCGTCACTGCGGAATCTTGTCACATGAGCATGGCGCTCCTTCACACGCTCAGCCCTGCCGGTTTCTTCGTCCTCGGAAGATTGTCCATTGTTGTCGTCGTCGTCGTTGTTGCCGCTGCTGCGTTTCGCACCAGCCGGAGGGGGGCTTCCTCCAAAACCTTCATCCTCATCAGGGGATGCCTCGCGATCCATCTGGTATTGCACAGCGTCATCGTCGTCGTCATTAGGTCCGTACGAAACAGCCTCGGAGCGATTGGCACGCTGCTTGGCGTTGGTTGCGTCGTCCTCGTCCTCGCCCTCATCCTCATCCTCATCCTCGTCAGGCGGGGCGGGGCGCGCTCCTGAGCCGGTCACCATTTCGACCGCGCCAGCCTTGCTACCCACGACTGGTGTTGCTGCACTCGACATCATCGTCTTCTTCCTGATTTCTTTGAGCATCATCTTGAGCAGATGGCCCAAAAACTTCTTCTCAACAGCAGCCAGCACGTCTGCTGCCTCGATAGCATATGCCTTGGTGTACTCTTCGGATGGGAAGAACTCGAGACGAACATCGTAAAGTCGGTGCAGCGAGCCGTCCTTGCCCTTGCCGGCTCGCTCGTTCACAGATGCCACATCGAGCACGTGTGCCAGGGGTAGCACACTGATTGACTTTTGGAAGACCTCGCACTCTGCCGCTGATAGTTCAGCGATGGGGAAGAGCGTCATGGACGGGGTTGATATTGTCTTGCTCGCGGTCATGAGAATTTCTCGCAGGCGAGGAATACCAAGCGTCACGTTTTTAGCGGAGTGACCAGCCAAGTGGAAGGTGTTCAAAGTCATCTGTGTCGATGGCTCACCAATACTTTGGCCGGCCACAATGCCGACACCCTCGCCAGCTTCGACCAGCGACCGCATGTACTTGGCGGCAAGCACGAGCTCCGCAGATTTTTTGCTCACGCTAGGAATGAAGGACGTAGCAGGCCGCTTCTCTCCCTTCTCACGCACTAGGCCATCCTTGTTCTCTTTGATGTATTCCGTCATGCTCTCGTAAAACTTCTCCGACGTGGCAAAGGCAACTCGGGCGGGGTTGACCATAGAGATGACAGGGTCCTTACCTCCAACCTTGCCCGCCTTGGCATGCTTGATGGCGCTCTTCATGTGTTTCAGGATACTGTCCTTGTTGCCGGCCAGCGTTTCCCGGAAGTCGCTGCTGAAGCCCAACTGCGCCGACTCTGATTCGATGTTGCGGAGGATGAAGCCGAAATCCGTCAAGTACTTTTGCTTGGTGGGATCTAGGCCATCCTCGCCGTACAAGAACTGGATCAGCGTGCCGTCTGCATCGCGGACAGTAGAGTCGTAGGAGACTGTCAATCCCTCCATGCCCTTGATAATACAGCGTTGGAGGTAGCCGGAACGGGATGTTTTGACGGCAGTGTCGATTAAACCTTCGCGTCCGGCCATGTGGTGGAAGTAGTACTCTTGTGGCCGAATACCAGTCAGGAAGCGCTGCACAATGTAGCCGCCGGCCCGGACACTGGAGTCAAACGGTTTGAAGCAGGGCAGTGACTTGCCACTGACCATCAACGGCACCCTTCTGCCCTCCAAGACCTGCTGCCCCAGGTTGCACGAGATGAGGTTCGCGTTGACTGGTCCACCCTTCGCTCCAGACACGGTCATGGCTTGCATCTGGTTTTTGGGAAACTGCTTCACCAAACCACTCGGAAGGCAGGCCTTCGTGATCGCCTGTGAAAGCTCGCCGCTGCGTTGGTTCATGAGCATATCCAAGCCTTCTTGCTTGTTGTCGTCGCGCATGACCTCCTCGAGGCGGACGAGTAGCTCAGCATCCGTGCTGGTAGGGTTGCTGTCTCCGAGAGAGACATACTTAGTCGCCACTTGTAGTCCAATGTCACTGGCCTCCCTGAGCGTTTCTCGTCGAGTTTGTTCTCCCTCGGGTGTGAGCCTCAAGTCATCCATGCCGCAAGTGAAGGCTCGCATATTTAAATATCTTGTAAGAAGTCTGCCTAGACTGCTAAGAAGCTTCCCAGCAATAGCAGGGCCATACACTTCGTGAACGGAATGAATGAGACCGCCAGAGCTTGGGCCAAGGTGTGCCTTGTCGAGTATGCCGTGCAGGAAGTGGCCGTCCTGGAAAAGAACTATGCCCTCTTCAGAGCCTTTACCCCAGCGATCGGCGGGTGTCTGAGTCTTTCCACTCATCCAGATGCCCTCGCCAGTCGGTGGTTTGATGTTCTTGAGAATGGTTGTGATGACCTGCTTTCCCGTCCATCTTGGGACTGGTTTGATGATGGCAGGAGGGACGAGTTCGAGGCGTTCGCCGAGGATGTGCCCGCTCTCGGGCCGAAGAGCAGCATAAACTAGCTGCTGGAAATCACCGCGAGTAAAAAACGAGTCCCTACTACACAGAGAGACCGAAACTGAAATGTGATCCTGAATGAGACCTCGGAGTGGCTTTCCGGCGGTACCTGAAAGGTACTGGTGGTCGGTGTCTGCGATCTGCAGCGCCTCTGCGCGAGCCACTTCGTTTTGCGGAAAATGCATGTTCATTTCGTCTCCGTCGAAGTCGGCATTGTACGTATTGCAGTTGGCATAATGCATTCGAATCGTCTTCTCGCCAGGCAGCACACGTACGCGATGTCCCATGATGGAGGGCTTGTGCAATGTCGGCTGACGGTTCATGAGCACGACATCTCCATTTGTAAGATGTCGATACACCTTCTTGTTCCTAACACCACTCGTGTTGCTATCGGTTGGCGCGAGAAGCTGGTTGGCCAAGGAAATTCGGTCATCCGCCGACTTGCCGCGGAGGTTGGTGATCTGCCCGTTTTCGTATTCGATAGCTGCCGCGCCGGGCCACTTGTCAACGCCATTGATTACAGCTCGCTGCATGTCTCTGAAGTTGTGACTGGTGACGGGCTCGGGAAATGTCAGCTTTCGTGCGAAGACAGGAGGCACACCAATCTCGTTGGTCTCGATATTGGGGTCTGGTGAAATGACACTTCGAGCAGCGAAGTTGACACGCTTGCCCATCATGTTTTTGCGGAAGAGGCCTTCCTTCTTTTCCAGCTTCTGTTTGATGCCCTCCTCGTTCCTCTTCGCGGCGGCACCCATCACGGGGTTTTTATCTTTGTCGATCAGTGAGTTGACGGCGTTCTGTAGATCGGTCCACGCTTGGTGCAAGTCCGTCATTGTCCTTGCACGTCGCTCGGTCGTCGCTCCACCGATGCTCTGGTGGACACGGGCAATCGTCCCGCAGCTTCGGAGCACTAGCTTGTACAGCGAGTTCTGTTGCGCTTCAGAGATCTCCGAGTCGCCTGTACGGGCCTCAGGTCTGAATCGATTGGGAGGGACCAGGAGCGTCTGTAGGAAGAACATGTCCGCAGAAACTTTTCCGGCCTTCTTCTTGAGAGGCTTGGAATTGTAAACAAGTGACAGGACCTCCTGCTCCTTGTCGAATAGCTCTCGCAAGCGCTCTCGTACTTCCATGGCCGTGATGTATCGTTGGCTGCGCGCAGAAGCTTTTGTTTGGCTTTCAGACACCTTGGCAGCCTGTCCCTCGCTTTCAGAGCTGGAGTCGGGTTCGGCCATGTTGACATCCCCGTCAGCGTCGGATGCTGAGGAGTCCACATCAGCAATGGCCTCGTCCGATGTATATCCATTCGACTTTGTCTTGGACACTGGTGTCGCTGCGGTCATGGCGTCTTTGGTTCTGAGGTTGGTTTGCGCCATCTTTGCGGCATCTCGCTCGGATAGAGGCTTCTCAAATATTTTCACGAAGGCGTCCTTCCTGTAAGGAGGCGAGATGCCCCCGCAAGTATCGCATTTCTTTGGCTTCGGGATCGCAGCCATGAATTCCTTGATGAGCTCTCTACGAATCTCCAGCGCACCTTCGTGTTTTCCTTTGCGCACATCACCGACGGTGGCTTTGTGTTCTTTAAGTTGGCGCTTAACGAAGAACTCTCGGGCCCGAATGAGATTGTCGGCACCACTGCCCTCCTCTTCCGCTTCGGCAGTCTCGGTCACGCCAGGAATCTGGAGGCCCTGGAAATCCTCTCCGACGGCATCGATCAGGTGGGCAGCTCTGAGCAGGCCATGCTGTAGGAGTCGCAACTTGCACGAGTACAGGTGAACGTCGCGTTGACGGAGGCGGAGGCCTTTGCAATAAACGCATTGCGCCCGTAGTAGCCGCAGCACTTGGTCCAGGAATACGGGATGGTAGACTGGAACTGGGAGCTCGATATGGCCCGCGTGGCCCGGACAGGAGGATTGATTGAGGTTGCATGTCGAGCAACTGGACAAGTAAAGAGTCAGCACCGCGGCGAAGCTAGAGTTCGATCATGTCGCATTGGTTCATGGACGTACATAGAGTCGCCCCAGGAGCCAAGAGCTGGGTCATAGAGACCTCCGGGGACCGGGTTCAGAAGGTTGTCGAATGTGCTGTCGTTTTCGATCCTCTTGACCGAGATTGCTCTGATCTCCGTCTCGGTCAGAAAGGTGAATTCAACCGTCTCGACGGTGGACGAGATAGGTTGCGAGATGTTCATTGCGCCGCTAGGTCTTCAGGACCATCCCAGGCAAAAAAAGACGTTTAGGCCGCCGGGGTGTCGTGGAGAGCGGCAAAGGTCCAGGCGCGCTTTCAATCTGTTCTGCGAATTATCCGTCCTTCTCTCACGACGGCTGCATTGAAAGCTTGGAGGGGATTTTTTTTGGCGGTAGAGTCTGGCAAAAAAAATGCCGGGTGGGGCAATCTGTGTTTGCTTAGGTGGGTTGGCCAATGTGATCACACATCAATATGCCTTATCTAAGATATATGGGGCTATGCTGATTGCAAAGGTGTGGGGCAGGTCTGGCCGGGTTTGTCTCTGCGGCTCCGAGCGAGAACGTGCCTACGCCTGCCTACCAGCCATATTCAGGTGTCCTTTCAGAGCGACTGACCCTGATCATAGAACGGGTCTGGTCCTCAAACCGCGTCGCGTTCGCACTTGCCGACCAACACAGCCGTACGACCTCCATCAGCCGGTGTTTGTTTTCGCAACCGAAATAGAATCCAAAGCGCCACGCACGCCCAAAATATACCTGGCTCAGCCCATATCACAATTAGCAACGTCCATCCAGGAGACAGCTTCTTGATGGATCGCCGGCAGCAGTCACCTGGTCTCGGGCCTCGTCATGATGCTGCTTCACGCATACAGAAGGCTGAGTCAGTGGCTGACAAGATGGCTGCACTCAAGGCTCGCGTAGCTGCTGCGATCGGAGGCAGTAAAGCCAAGGGTGGGCTGAATGTTGGCCTCCATCCGGCTTTGGAGGATTTAGGGTCCTGGAAGCCGTCAGGCTCTTCGACAGATGTTCGCAATGCCAGTCAGAGGCCCCCAGCGCATGCTTCCAAAGGGGTGAAGACCTCGACCATTTCGCATGACTTGCTGCGCAACCGTACCGACCAGCACAGCAACCCATACTTCGATGAACAACTGGCCGCACAGCCATCGGCTGGGAAGCAACGACAATCACGCCAGCTTGTTTTCAACCAAAAGGGCAAATACATCCAACAGGCCAACGCCTTGAGGCGGCAGGCTGCTCTCGAAGCAATGAAGAAGCGCATCGCAGCGCAGACGAGGAAGGCTGGCATCGACGACGAATTGGATCTGGAGAAAAACTTGATTGTGGACGCCCCTCCCGAGATTGAATGGTGGGACGAGGGACTGGTGGATGGCAACTACGACAGCATCGACGACGCTGCGCGCCTCAAGATTGAGAGCCCAGACAGTATCGTCACGGAGTATATTCAGCATCCAGTGGCACTCGAGCCACCGCAAGATCGAAAGGCTCCGGCTCCCAAAGCCATGTATCTGACCTCGAAGGAGCAGGCAAAACTGCGCAGACAGAGGCGCATGGCCGAGCTCAAGGAGCAGCAAGCAAAGATTAGACTGGGTCTTGTTCCGGCACCACCCCCCAAGGTGAAGAAAAGTAACATGATGCGCGTTTACGCAGATTCGGCCGTCAAGGATCCCACCGCTGTGGAAACCATGGTCAATCGTCAGATCGCAGAACGGCAGCAGACTCACCAGCTAGCCAACGATGAGAGAAAGTTGACGAAAGAACAAAAACACGAGAAGCTCACCGCCAACCAGGAGAAAGACGCCGCCAGTGGCATTCACATAGCCGTGTTCCGGATTAACAGCCTGGCCAATGGACAACATCGCTTCAAGATTGGAAAGAACGCGGAGCAGCACTCATTGACCGGAATCTGCATCATGCACCCCCGACTGAACCTGGTTATCGTTGAGGGAGGTGAGCACAGTATCAAGAAATACAAGCAACTCATGCTCAACCGCATCGATTGGACGGAGAATTCGCCGTCACGCGAGAAGAGCGGACCGCAGCAGGTTGCAAGAGACTGGCTCATTGCTGAAAACGAGCAAGGGGGCTTGAAAGACATGTCATCGAATGAATGTAAATTGGTTTTCGAGGGTGAAGAGAAAGCTCGGGCGTTCCGTAAATGGGGCAGCAAGGTGTGCGAATCAGACTCCGAAGCGAAGGATGCTTTGACACGGGCGAAGATGGACAATTTCTGGGCACTCGCCAAAGGCATGTAACGGTCATTGTCAAATGCAGTGTTGGGAGGAAGTTGCATGAGCAGTGTGAAATAAACGGTCATGTTGGGCGAAGATCAGCATCACACGTGAAACAGGTCGCCTGAATAGCGGCCCCTGTCTGTATACCAGAAGGCGAACACTCATCATCAGAAAAATGCAGCATCTGTAACAGAAGATTTGTGAGCAGTTCAGATGTAATCCCCGCCAACCAGCCCAGTTATTGATACTGCGATCCGAGCATCTCCGAGCCGCCGCCAGGCGCAGTTCAGTACTGTGTGTATTAAGGGTGAACTTAGCTTGCCACACTCAAGAGCCCGATACTGGCCGAGTGCGTACCGTTGCCATCATGTACATCACTAGCACACACGTGACAATCGAAAAGTAGTGGCCAACATAATAGACTGGTAAGACGTGCTCATGGGAAAGGCGCAGGGTGGCGGTGCGAAGCCTCGCTTGTTGCAGCATAAGCTACGGTCGACAGGATTCGTATGACGGCAGGTCAGGAGGTAGGCAGCAGGGCAGAGATCTCAGCACAGATTCATGTGACACATGGATGACTCACTGTTGCCTCGTTCGACAAAGCTAAATGAGAGTATTGGCATACCAAGGCAAGGCCGCCCTGGTTAGCCAGATTCAAGGGGAGGAAACCATAAACCCAGCACGACGCGTAAGGGCCATAGCTGATGGCCACGCGCCGCCGGCACGTGTATAGTAGGGGGGAAGTCGCGGGCGGGGGGATTACGGACAAAACAAAATCATGCGCAGGAAAGAATTTAGATCATAATGTTTGCATTCCGTTGCGCAGCTTGCTGGCTAATGCTGCCAATGCTGCGGGTAATATACAGCCCTGTCGCGTAAAAACACTCATTCGATAACGCCTGATCCCCTAAACCCTGCGACGGACCTTTCGTCAAGCATTCCCAAACGAGTCATGAACCACCCTGCCGAGAGAAAGACCAAAGACAAAAGCTTAGTTGCGCTCACCACGGAGGCGGCGGGCAAGCTGGATGTCCTTGGATTGGATGGTGACACGCTTGGCGTGGATGGCGCACAGGTTGGTGTCCTCAAACAGCGAGACGAGGTAAGACTCAACGGACTCCTGAAGGGCGCCGATGGCAGACGACTGGAAGCGGAGATCGGACTTAAAGTCCTGGGCGATCTCACGAACCTGCAAGGGGATGTTAGTTAGTATAGCGACCAAGATATTTCGGTGTCGGTGTAGATCTTACCAGACGCTGGAAGGGAAGCTTGCGGATGAGCAGCTCGGTCGACTTCTGGTAGCGACGGATCTCACGGAGAGCGACGGTACCGGGCTTGTAGCGGTGGGGCTTCTTGACACCGCCGGTAGAAGGAGCGCTCTTGCGGGCGGCCTTGGAGGCGAGCTGCTTGCGAGGGGCCTTGCCACCAGTGGACTTGCGGGCGGCTAAAAAGGATGGGGTTAGTCGGGGTCTGCAGAGGCATAATAGAGGAAACTCACTTTGCTTGGTACGGGCCATTGTGAATGTGGGAAAAGGTTGATGTGGCTGATGGGGTTGTGTTGTTGTTTGGTGGAGGCGTTGAGTGGATGATGATGCAGGAGAGAGGAAGGGATTGGAGAAGTGGAGGGGGAGAGGAATAAATAGGAAGGAGAGGGGCGGCAGCGGTATTGGGTGATTTGGGCGACTGATCTGGGGCGCGCGGGCGCGCGGGCGCGACAGAAACAAGTTGGTCCGTGCGTCCCAGCAATCAGTAACTTGAAATTGAGGCCTGGCGAAAATGGTGCCTGCAGGGGTCCATTCTGGACCTCAAAGGAACCGATTTTTGATTGGCTTCTTTCCAGCACCCTAGCCCCATTTGCGGGTTTACATCTCGACAACGTGCATTACGCCTTGCCTGTTTGATGCTGCCACGATTTCAAGCGTGGAGGCGAGTTGAGCCTCTCCAGCTGTCGAGTGATGTCTACATGTCACGGTCCAGGAGACTGACGATGACGACTTGGTTGTCCCGTTACTCAAACATGTCTGGGGTCGATCTGTTTAATGCAGCAGGCATTTCCCATCTTGTCAAAAATGGGCTAACAAGAAGGGGGGGGGACGAAGTGTGTTTGGCATCCCATCCCATGCATCATCATGATCATTATCGCCAGCTTTTAAGAATTCACGACCCTGCTCGTCAACAGCTCACGGGATTGAACGCAGCTAGCAAGCCACGTTATAAGAATATATCCTCCCTTCGCAAGGCATGATCTGGTAGATTGGCCTGTTACGAGGCCGAAGGTACGCCTGATTGAAGCTTCACTCCAGACATGAGAGCTTCCATATCTGTCTTGACAACACTGTCGTGTGTGTGTGTGTGTGTGCGCGTGTTGCTGTCAACTGCCGGGTCCGTGCCCAGCCCATCGATTCGACCGGGTCGAGAGCGCGCCCTGGCAGTCTGTCAAAGGGATGCGTTTGAATGGACAGGGGGCTGGTTTGATTTTCGGGTTGTTGTGGATTTGGTATTTCGAGCCAAATCGCGTCGCCCCAAGTCCATGTCGGGTGACCCACCCCTGCAGGTCCGTCCCCCTCCCTGCCTCACCAAATGTCAGAATACGTACCGCAACGCGCCCCCATTCTTTGGACTGATCCCGTTGCACGACGCGCCTCGCATTTCCGGTATAAAGCGCCCCCCACTGCACGCCGCGTCTCTCTATTCCTGCTCACCAACTCAACCAACCCCATTACTCTAATTTCATCCACACGAGCTCATCGACGTATCTCAACCTCTGTTGAGACTTGACATCCGTTTCACACTTCCCCTCTCAACAACAAGATGACTGGACGTATGTTGCACCTCTCCTACGGAATATTCCCTCCAATGCTAACAACATGTATCCAGGCGGCAAGGGTGGCAAGGGCCTCGGCAAGGGTGGCGCCAAGCGTCACCGCAAGATTCTTCGTGACAACATTCAGGGTATCACCAAGCCTGCTATCCGTCGTCTCGCTCGTCGTGGCGGTGTCAAGCGTATTTCTGCCAGTAAGCTCTAGACCATATTCTCGTTCGCACGTGGATTTGACTAACGGCCCCTAGTGATCTACGAAGAGACCCGCGGTGTTCTGAAGTCCTTCCTTGAGGGCGTTATTCGTGACGCCGTCACATACACTGAGCATGCCAAGCGCAAGACTGTTACGTCCCTGGACGTGGTCTATGCTCTGAAGCGCCAGGGCCGTACTCTTTACGGTTTCGGTGGTTAGACGTCTTTGCTTTGTGCGATTGGCATGTCTCTTATGAATCTCTTTCCGGGGCATGGCGCGCTTCGTTCGACGCGCCTAGACGCGTGGGCGCAGCGACAATGGACATTAGGGTGTGGGTGTTCTTGCGACATGAATGACTACGGGACTGGCTGGCTTTTGGGTGTTTACTTGTACCATACGGGTTGGGCTCTATGGATTTGGGTTTGAGGTTAATCGATTCCTCGCCGAGGTGTGCTCTCGACATGAACTATATTGTTTCCCGTGATGTGGAAAGTGGTGTCCTTCTCCTCTGCGCGTGTCGTCTAACTAGTGTTGTTTTTGTTGCAGAGGGCGGTATGGTTGGCGGTTCCCGGTTGCAACCTCCTGTTGCGGCAAAGTGTGTTCGCTCGGCGTTGTGGATTTTCGGGGCCACTAACGACGACAGCCAAGTGTTCTCGGGCTGAACGATCGATACGTGATGGGCGTGGTGTTCGTGGTGGTCCGAGACGCGTTAGGTCTTTTACAATTGTTGGCTGTCTTGAGAACCCTTCGTGGAAGTACTTGACGAAATCCCTTTGCCTTGTAATGGATGATCTGACTGTGCACGAAGCTCCGTAATCTGCTCGGGCGGTGATCTGAAGATGCTTGCTCTCATCGTTAAACCGCGATATTTTATCACGGTTGCTTCCACGACTCGTAGGGATTGTCCCTACTCTTGGCGGCACGGTGTTTGTTTATGTGTGGTGTTCCTGCCAGCAATACAACACGCTTTGCTTGCTGACGTTAGTGATCGCTCCTGCTGCGTATATCTCCCATGGGGGTATCTGGGTTGTTTTGGGGGGGATCTCGTTGTATTGGGGATGCTGTTTAAGCTGCATGGAACATGACCGGCCATTCGACTGGCTGTGTAAATGACACGCATCAAGACTTGAAAGGCACATCGACACTGGGCGCTCATTTTCATAATTCGAGGACGGGCTTGGATGTCATCAGTGCACGCTTTGCGTAACGTCTGTCGGAAACTATAAAAATTCGTGCCATCCGCTTACGGTTATAATTATCTTGCGTAGTGAGATGTAACAACGCACAGTTGATTGATTAGAACCCGAGGCAAAATGGAAACATTTTCAGTTCTACTGAGCGCAAAGGTGCCTAGGGCTTCCTGTGTTCTAATTTCTATCGAATAATAGTAACTGTGCCTAGGTTCTGGCTGCTGTTAGCCTTGTTCTGATGAAGTGGAAATATTGCCGTGCATTTACCTCACACATCACGACAGGGCACATGTGAACAAAATCAACAACCGGCAGACCACGCTCGCCAATACAGCAGTGTCACGCGATGAGAATCTATTTCTACTAGGCCGAAAATACAGCATCTTGCTGTTGCAGCCGACGTCACGGTCGTCGGTCGTCATCTTCATATCATCGAACGTTGTACACAATACTAGACCCACGATAAAGCTATAACCTGACGCGAATGCAAGCCCCCCCCTCGACCTTCTAAATACATCAATCAACAAGAATTAAATCACGTCCATGAAGGAACCACGTAAGCTATAGTCGTCTCGATAATTACCATTGACATAACGTGGTCCAAATATAATGGCCCATTGGGTTTTCGTACGTCGAGATGCTGCATGTTTAACACTTCGGGACAAACATCACGTGACGCGTCTATGAACCGAAACCGAACCCAGCGAGAGCCTGAACACAAACACGGACCCCACGCGAGATCCGCGCTGCAATACTCACTCTACTACAGTAGTGAACTTGAATGAGCGAATGTAGAATCTCCCACTCGGGTAGATGCGGGGGGTGGCCCTCCGGCCGGACAGACCGATGGAGTGTGGAGCAGGCGCCCGCGGCCACCCAAATGGTGCACCCAGTCTTCCGGGAAGTGGCTGAGCCTAACACCGAAAAAGAAAGACTCAGCCACAAGCTTGAGCCAATGGAACTGTCACATGAGCGCGCACACCTAATCTTGGCAAGACCAGATGGTATTTTTGGTGTGGGAGGTGGTACCCAATCCAGAGGTTTTTTTTTTTTTCTTCGAGACAGGATCTCCGGTGTTCCGCCGCTCTCTCCGAGGGTTTCAAAGCATCCAGCTCACAACGAATTTTCTCGCCTATGCAGCTTTGTACATGCGACCGGCCTCAGCTAACGTCCCCCCCTCCGTATCCCCCCTGGATCCTCTGGATTCTACTGCGCATTACTCACGATGCTCAACTGCTGCATGCGTGGAACGGCAGGCCCGATATTGCCAGACTCAAGAGGATGAAGGAACTGCTTGTCGCTGCCGAAGCCGACTGGGCCCTACGGTAGAAGCTGTGCGTGTAACCACGATCGAGGCAACAAGGTCACTGCCGCCCGATCTTGGATCTAGATCTGCAATGGAACCTAGCACCGGAGGCCTACGGTCACACTGGAAGACTTGCCATGACAA